AAGAAGTTAGCTCCCTATTTTCAGGGTCGAGCGATTCGCGTTTTGACCGATCAGCCGATCGGGCCAGTCCTCCGAACTGCTTCATCATCCGGTCGCTTAGTCAAGTGGGCGTTAATGCTGACCCAGTACGCGATAGAATACCGACGAAGACCGGCCATCAAAGGCCAGCCCCTGGCAGATTTCTTGGTCGAGTGCACCGCCCGGGACACCCGACCCCCCGAGGTCGCGGACCCTGAGGCCGAGTGGTGGTCGCTGGCTACTGATGGGTCGAGCAGCAAGAAAGGAGCAGGCAGAGGAGTGGTAGTCACGAGCCCGGAGGGGTTTAAGGTCTACTTTGCCCTTATGTATCAGTTCCATCCGACCAATAATGAAGCCGAGTAAGAAGCCTTTGTCAATGACTTGCAGTGTGCTCGGGACTTGGGGGCTGAATACATTCGAGCTCAGACGGATTTCGCGCTCGTGGTCGGGCAGGTTCTCGGGATTATGAAGTGAATGGAGAGCGACTACAGCTATACCGAGACCTAGCCATGGAGAAGCTTGCTCTGTTCCGGGGGTACACCGTTCGACACGTACCCCGATTGGATAATTCCGATGCGGACATCTTGTCCAAATTGGCTCAAGACGCCCCGGAACACATGTCAAAGATCGCTCGGATCTTGGTGATCCCGAGGCACAGCATCCACCGATTGCCGGTCAATCCTATCCAACCGGCAGAAGACAATTGGATCACTGATCTGAAAGAATACCTCGAGCACGGTCGACTCCCAGATGACCCTCAGCGTGCTCGGAAGGCCAAGCTTAGAGCCCCAAGGTTCCAAGTCTTGGATGGTCGTCTCTACAGGCGATCGTATGGAGGCCCCCTTATGCGTTGTTTGACCGCATTTGAGGCCGATCTTGTTATGAAGGAATTGCACTCGGGCATCTGTTCGTCACATCAAGGAAGCCGATCCTTAGCTCGTCGAATCATGCTGATCGGGTATTATTGGCCGTCCCTCCAGCTAGACTATGAGAAGCTAGCTCGGGAATGTGAGACGTGCCAATTGTTTGCCCGGATGCCCGGACGACCGGCCACCTTTTACCAACCGGTCACGACTGCAATTCCCTTCGCAAGGTGGGGGGTGGACATTTTGGGACCCTTCCCTCAGCTTTCCGGCTGATGAAAGTTCGTTATTGTCGCCATCGATTATTTCTCAAAATGGATCGAGGCCTAGCCTTTAGCTACGATCACATCTCGACCGTTTGCACACGGCGGCCCGATCGGTTTTTTCCTTACCTTCGTTAAACGCAGGTTAAGTCATTACCACGCTATCTCAACCAGGCGAATCCATCGACCGGTCAAATGCGCTCCCTTCGGCGGACATCTGGGTCACACCACCGATCGGGAAAGCTAGAGCTCCCAGCATAATTCCCCTATCCGTCCAGCTTCTTTCCACTATCGCACCCACTCGTGCCTCGAGCGCACAATAGTGTGGGGCTAGGATGAAGGAAGTGCTATAAGGTCCGTCGCTCGGGAACACCCCGACCGAAGTGGCTTAATAGTTTTCAGAAATCGACAAGGCCAGGAGATCGGGTAAACCTGATCGGGTAGGCCATCTGAATGTCGATGCTCCGATCGAAGATGCACGACCCGGCCATAAGGCCACGAGGTCGGGTGTTGAGCAAGTCGAATGATGTACGACCAGGCCATGAGGCCGCAAGGTCGAGCATTGGGTGTTCGTCGCATGCGTAATTGAAAATATAAATGCATCGAGAACGAGCTACACAAGATGGACAAAAAACGAATTTTATTAATTCAAAAGGTGCCCGGTACAAACTTGGGACCGGGCTCCCGATCAGGTTCACTTACAAAAAGAAGAGCCTATGTCTACTTCTTCGAAGGCTCCGCTTCGCTCGGGGTGGCCGCTGTAGTCTTGCTCGGCTCAGCCATCTTCTCTTTCGGGTCGAACGGCGCTGGCCCTGGGTCGGGAAGATCTGGAGGAAGTGTGGTCAGGACTAATTGAAGGTCTTCTCCTTCAAGCGCCTGCTCCATAATCTTTTGAGTCTTCTCGCGCATTTTCCTCTGGCCGGTTTTAAAGGCCCATCGACCGAATGCCCAGACGAGCTCCTCCCCGACCTTGGTGTCCCGAACAGACCTAAGGAATCGGGTGCCCGACTCGTTATCCCGGAAGAGGAATCGAGCCAGTTCATCCGGATTGTTTAAACGGGCCTTCAGCTCGGCGACCTCCCCGACCGCCTGTTGGGCGACCTTCTCGGAAAGATCCCGTTCCTCCTTTGCCTTCTTGAGCTCCGCTTGGAGGTCCCGGACTTCCTGTAGTCGCCGGTTGGCGACCTTCTTCAGGGCTTCGGCCTCATTGGCCTGCAGAGCTCGTTATTGGAGGAACTGGGTTGCTAGGGAGATCTGCAATACGAAAACGATTGGAGTTAGCCCGAGTGGGGTTACTTGCGTATAAAGATGAAAGGAAGGAAACGTTTACCTCGGCCAAGTCGTAGCCGATCTTCCTCGGCCACCTAGGTCGGGGTCAGCTTGCCCAGGTCTTCCTTGGCTGGCCCGGCGTTGCCGATCCGGGCAAGAATGGACGAGCCCTCCTTGCTTCCCCCGGTCGAGGGGCTCGGGCTGCGCTGTTCCCAACGGCGTTTCAGTGCGCCAGTGTCAGTTGCCCTTTTCTCGGGCACCTTTTCCTTGCCCTTGGAGACCGCCACCCGGGCAACAAGAACATCAGACGCGTCGACTACATAGCCTTCCGGCGTAGTGACGGTCGAGGCGCCCATTGGTCGGGCGATCGGGACTTCCTTTTCCCTGCCCGGGTTAGCATGACTTACAACAACAATGGTTTCAACAATATATTTTTACCTAATAGACAACGTTGTTTAAAGCATTGTCTATGTCATATTATGTTATTTTAGGTTTTAAATATATTAGGGGGTATGAAATCTTAATTTTAAGGAAGACATCGATGTCGAAGAAGATAATGAAGATGGTAATGACGATGAAGATGACGAAGACGGTGATGTCAATGAATATGAAGACGTCGATAGCGATGAAGACGAAGAAAATAGTGATGACGAAGAAGATGACGTAGGTTAACTCGTTTCTCGACTCGGGTATGTAGCTAGTCTTTTCCGATTTTTTTGTTTGAATTAAAAAATCTAATTTTGTTATGTATTTTGAGTTTTGAGAATGAAGATGAACATGAGAAACTTTAGCAGTAATCCATTAGAAACACGACTCCATTTGTCTCTCTGTAAAATGCAAATATTGTTTTTACTTGCAAATTTTTACTTGCACCTATAATACATTTTACATGCACTTGTAATACATTTTACTTGCACTTCGATGTTCAATTATTTACGAAAATGCCACAGCGTTTTTTAAAAAAATCAGTGTTTCTCATCCATTAGATTTGGACACGTGGACGAACAGAATCCATTCCTATTTCGCGCTTGGGCGAGCCGTTCGCACCCGAGTGCAACCCTATATATATATATATATATATATATATATATATATATATATATATATATATATATATATATATATATATATAGGGATGCACTCAGGTGCGAATAAGTGCTCAGGAGGGAAATGCGAAAATCAGCGCGTGACACGTGTCCAGATCTAATAACTTAAAAAAAATGCGGTGGCATTTTCGTAAATAATTGAACATCGAAGTGCAAGTAAAATCACTTACAAGTGCACCTACTTTCACCTATAAGTTCATGTAATTTTGCCTTGTTAGCATTCACTTTCCACAAACATTCATGCACCTGAGTGTGCTTATGACTATATGTGCAACTATTTATAACTATAGGTGCAACTACTTATAACTATAGGTGCACCTACTTTCACCTATAAGTGCATGTAATTTTACCTTGTTAGCATTCACTTTCCGCAAACATTCATGCACCTGGGTGTGTTTATAACTATATGTGCAACTATTTATAACTATAGGTGCACCTACTTTCACCTATAAGTGCATGTAATTTTGCCTTGTTAATATTCATTTATCTGAGTTCAGCGGGTAGTAATACCCCTGAAAACCACTCGCAAACATTCATACACCTAGGTGCAACTACTTATAACTATTTGTGCAACTACTTAGAACTATAGGTGCAACTAAGTATTGATGCTCAGTGTAAATTTTTACTTGCACCTATAATACATTTTACATGCACTTGTAATACATTTTACTTGCACTTCGATGTTCAATTATTTACGAAAATGCCACCGCGCACTACAAGAAAAATGCACATAGACAACGGTCAATAACCGTTGTCGTAGGGGTATAATTTCTGTTGTTGAAGCCGGTGTTGTTGTAAGTCCCGCGCATAGACAACGGTTTTTTAACCGTTGTCTTTTCTAGAAACAACAACGGTTTTTTAACCGTTGTTTGTTAAGTGTGTTGAAGCTGGTGTTGTTGTAAGTCACGCACATAGACAACGGTTAATAACCGTTGTCTTTTCTAGAAATGACAACGGTGTTTTAACTGTTGTCTATTAAGCGTTGTTGAAACCAGTGTTGTTAAAAGTCACGCACATAGACAACGGTTAATAACCGTTGTCTTTTCTAGAAACGACAACTGTTTTTTAACCGTTGTCTATTAAGTGTTGTTGAAACCGGTGTTGTTAAAAGTCACGCACATAGACAACGGTTTTTAACCGTTGTCTTTTCTAGAAATGACAACAGTTTTTGAACCGTTGCCTATTGAGTGTTGTTGAAACCGGTGTTGTTAAAAGTCACGCACATAGACAACGGTTTTTAACCGTTGTCTTTTCTAGTAAAGACAACGGTTAAAAATCGTTGTCTATTGAAGGTTGTTGAAACCGGTGTTGTTGAAAGTCATAGGCATAGACAACGGTTTTTAACCGTTGTCTTATATATCAAAGACAACGGTTAAAAATCATTGTTCGCACATTCATAGACAACGGTTTTAAACCGTTGTTTTTAACCTATTTTGATTTTAAGCATAATAATATAATAAAAATAATTTATTCAAATGCCATAAATATCAAAGCATCAATTCATTAGTACAATCATCTTTTACAAGTATGTAAAGTATTTCAAAATACACAAAAATTCATCATCTACTTTAAAATACAATGAACAATTCCAATCACTAAATCTAAATATTGTAGTGACCAAAGATACATTTTAAAGAAAGACCTTATGTGCTTCATGCTTCTCATTACATAGACACAAGCATTTTTCCTGTCAATGTAGAAGAACATATTGGATAGGAAGTATATAAAAATGTGGCAAGAGAACTGTCAAATAAGAAAAATTCACTATTTGACATACGTAGTCTAATTAGCGTCCTTTGTAAGAGTTGTCTTTGGCCAAGCTCCCATTTGAAGTATATGAAATGGCTCATACACCCAGATTGAATAGCCTCATTAGGAAGATGGTGCCAACACTTCAATCTGTAGCATGTACATGTGGAACCACAACCAAAATAGAGCAAAGTAATGATGATTTGTAGTTTTATTTTGACTCATCTTACATGAATATAAGTAAAATAGATAAAGAATACTTACAATTACTGAACTTGGTGACTGCTTCATCAAGAAGCTATTAAATGAAAAGCTTTCAATAGTTTGCCCAACATAAACTAAAACACAAAAATCTTGTACTAATTAATATTAATATTAGTAGTTTAAAAGAAAAGAACAATCATTGAAATCAATATAATGTTCAAAATTCTACCCAGTGATGTTTCTCTTCATTTTGTGGCCTCATTATTTTCATCCAATCAGTAAAACATTTCTTCATGTATGCAAGTTGCTCAGATCCACCTCTGGTAAGATTTGAAGGTCTATTAGTTTCACCCATTTCATTGACCTGTTATATCATAAACAGCCTTCAGGTTATGTATCAGAAAAATAAGAAATAGATCAATCACTCATGTAAAGAAGTAAACAGGATGGACATTTAGCCAAACCAGGGAACCTGTAATTAGTTGGTAACAGGTTAAACCCCAAAGTAAACAAAACAGAACACACATGACTAAGTAGAAAGGCAAATTGATGATAGACAGAGGCATATAAATGGAGAAAAAACAGGACCATAACATCAACATATCAGCATTCACTAATAAAATAGATTTAGACTATAACTAATTTAGGAAGACACATACACAAGCACAGTAATAGGGGAGAAAAAGAAGGAATGGAGATCTAAATGTTGGGCAGTTTAACTTTTAATTATCCCAAAATAAATAAAGAGGAGATAATTTAACCTGAATAATTGCTGCTGTCACGACATCCAGGATATTGTTTGTGGTATAGCTGTTTGATTTAAGCCCGATCTATTTAGGTTCAGTGTCAACAGAGCTTTTGGTCCAAAATGCAAATATATATGAATCCAATACCTATTAAAAATATAAATGCAAATTTTATCTTCTTGGTAACATGAAGGGAAATAAAATCATAATTTCATATATAGAACCTACACACTAATTTACCTCCCATCTTGCCACATTATCAAGTTGATATATCTTTAGAGTTCTGCTTGTAGCAGGCTCAAGTATTCTAATCCCATCAAGTCCAATCTGAAACAAGATCACAAACCCATCACTAAGTGCTTGTGAATAGTGAATTTCAAGATTATTAGACAAGCATAGAGAACATTTATAATTCATCACAGAGCAGCAGATTTGACATTCAAAATTCTAGCAATTCAAGCAAATGCAAATATCAATAATGCATTACGATAACATTCACGAACCTGACATAGCACGTCCATGTCAGTCTGGCCATGGAAAACTCTCAGAACCCTTCTATTCCTTCCCACCTGGAATATTAATAGGTCGTCCATAATCATCAAATAACACTTCACTGGATAACTCCGATCTACTACCACCATATGTATCGGCTTTTCCCAGCCGGTGCCTTTTTAGAATTACTCCACTGATTGCTCATCTGAAATCAACACAGAAAAAAGTCAAGAACTCCACACTAACACTTACGAACCTATACATCCGCACAGGTGCGTAAAAATAACTATCACATAAAGAATTTAGGGATTAATGAAATTATGATTTAGGGATAAATAGAATTAAGATTTTAGGGATTAGGGTTTAAGATTTGAGTAATAGAACTTGTAGCGCAGCAGAGACGGCGATGTCGACGAGCGATTTTGACGGCAAACACCCAGGCGTTGGGAATGATTGTCGCGACGTTGGAGTCTTGGGCATTTTTCTTGTAGTAAGCGGTAGGCGACGGATTTAGGTTTTGGAGATGGAGGAACGGTAGAGGAGATGGAGGTTGAGGTGGGTTGAGAAAGGCGTAAAGGCGGAAAGTTGAGAGGGAAAATTTTTGTTTGAGAGGGAAGAGTTTTAAAGACTTTTATGAACTTTAAAAGTTTTGAGGTATTCAATTCAAACTTTTAGAGAGTCTTTAAAAGTCATGCGATATTCAATCAAGATTTTTAAAGAGTCTTTAAAAGTCGTGTGGTATTCGATTAAGACTTTTAAAGAGTCTTTAAAAGTCATGTGGTATTCAAAAAGTTATGAACTTTTGCTGACTTTTTAATTTTAAGATTTTTGTAGACTTTTCCTTCTCAAATATAAATAGTTGAAATCCAACTATCAACTCCAAGATTTCAAATTTTCTTTCTAACAACTTTGATGTTTTCTCTCTCTATTTAGACTCTATTTTTTTCTCCATATTTAGAGCATCCACACTTGTGTATATTGTGGGGAGATTTCAGCATTAATTCTTCCCTACATGAGATAATAGCTAGTGTGGAGGGGAGATAATTGAAAAATAATTGTCTTGCAAATGTGAGGATATTGTCAGAAAAAAAAAAAAAAAAAAAAAAAAAAAAAAGAAAGAAGAAGAAGGAAGGCTGTGCGCGTTCGCGCACAGCCTTGGGCAAAAGCCGGGCGTGTGCGCTGCACGCGCCTGGAGGCGCGCCTGACGCGTCTGATTATTATTATTATTTTTTTTAATTTTTTTTTGTTTTGTTTTTTCTTTTTTTTTTTCTCTCCCCTCCCACATTCTCTTTCCTAATCACTCTTACATTATCCCCCCATTCTCCCCAACCAATGTGGATGCTCTTAAACTCTATAAACCTATCTAAATTTAATAAAATTATTTTTTTCTTCATTATCCTATATTTTCCTTATACCTAAGCTCTACCAATTTTTTTCTCTCTCTCCTAAACTTTAGAATCTTCATCTAAAAATTCGAAATAATATTATTTTTACTTCATTATTGCTTGTTTATATTGATTTTTATTTTTTTCTATGAATTTTTTTATCCCTAACTTTCTCTAATTCTCCCTAAATACATGAACAAATCAAATTTTTCATAGTCAAATTTTAGTATATGTTTCATAATATTCATATAAATAATTATATATTTTGATTTTTATTATTTTTATGTTTATATTCGTAATATATATTTTTCTCTTTTTTTTTTTAACAACCTACTACGAATAGCGGCGAATTACTGTTCGCAATAACAATTTGGGGTTGCAAACAGTAGCACCTTGTTGTTGTTTGCAGTCTCAAATTGCTATTGCAAATAATAATTTTTTGCGTGATGCCTAGCAATATATAAGTATAATTTTATATATATTATTAATATTATATTTTTTTATTTTATGCAACTTGTAATTATATTTTTAAATATTTTATTTGATCAAGTCTTTTATTATAAATTTTATTGTTCAATATTGTTATGAATTTCTACTGAAATAGTTTTTTTTTTTTTTTTTTTTGTTGATGTTTATTAATAATATATATAAGTAATTAGCATATAAGTCTCAACGTACTATTGATAAAAATAATAATGTTGAGAATGTTGATGTGGGTGAAGAACTATATAATAAGAAGAATTTTATGATATATTATAAATGTTTTGTAAGAAAATTGTAAATGATAAGAATCTAAATCATTGAAAGTTTGTAAGGATGTATTCAATTTAGAATTTCAATGACTTTTGTAGACTTTTTAAAATAAAAAGTTGATAAAAGTCTATGAATGTTTTTTATATAGACTTTTATAGAGTCTTATAAAGTTTTAAAAAGTTTTGAACGACTCTATGAAAGTCAATCAAAGTTTATTAAAATCTATCATTTTAAAAGTCTTTAAAACTCTACAAAAATCATGATTGAATACACCCCCTTTAATTTGTATTGAACGGTCAAATAGATTTATGTTACTAATATTTATGTACTAATATTTATTGTTGCATTTAGACTACTTTAAAAATAAAAAATAAAATTTGAACCGACAGTTCAAATTGGATCTGGAACCGTGAACCGACAATTCAAAATAAAAACCAAATCACAGTCATATATACTAATATGTGAGAATTAGAATAAATGTAAAAAAGAACATACACTATTGACCCTTGAAAGTATATATACTAATATGTGAGAATTAGAATAAATGTAAAAAAGAACATACACTATTGACCCTTGAAAGTCAAATTTTAAAGAAGAGTGAATTTCATTTTTTATCTTAGATTTATAGGTAACAGTCTATAGGACCAAAATTGGTCATGTCACAATAATATATAGGACTAAAAATGAATGTTTAAAAAAAAAAAAAAAAAAAAAAAGTGAACTGTCACCTATATTGGGAGCATGTCCATCATAACCCGGGTATATAGATACAAAACTGGGGTAAGAAAATAATAGCTTTATTACTTGGGGCACTAGGCCCAAAATAGTAACGGGTATATAAGTACAGAACGGGGATTGGAAAATAGTAACTTTATTATCCGGGGCGCTAGGCAACAGTAGATTCATAGAACACGAGATTCATAGATTTTTATACTGTAGATTCATAAATTCTATACTGTAGATTTATAAAATCTTTACTCTAGATTCATAATTTCTAAGTCGTAGATTCATAATTTAAATACAGTAAATTCACAATTTCTATACAGTAGATTCATAATTTGAACATAGAGTTCTGTAATTGTGAATATAGAGTTCAAACATACCGCCCTTAACCCCTCCACACCATTCTGAACACCACACCGCACCGCACAGGGCCATTATATGGCATGTAATTTAATTAATTGAAAATAAAACTTTAATGAATTGACATTGAAATTTTGGTGAACAATTTTAAATTAACTTTTGAATTGTATTATTTCTTTGTTAAATTTTTATGCATTATATTTGGACAAAAAAATTTAATTACATTTTTATTTTTGTTCTAGTTCTTCTAAACATCTATTTTTATCTCGTAACAAAAATAATGAAGGTCCAAATTATTGGTAAAAGATAAAGTGTAACACTTTATTAAACAAGAGTTGTTATGTTTTGGTGGGTTTAGCTTTGTTTGTTATGTTAGAGGTCATGGGTTCTATCCTTAACTTGTATTTTATACAATCATTGTATTGGTTCTCAGAGACAACACAAAATCAAACTCGTTATATCTTAGATATTGCGCTTAAGTATATAAGTGTTTGTGTGGCTTAGTGGGTTTAGCTTAGTTTGTTATGTTAGATGTTAGATTATGTTAGAAGTCTCAAGTTCTATTCTTCCTAGAGGCATCCTTAACCTATTTTATAAAATCGTTGTCTTAGTTTTCACAGACAACACAGAAGTAACCCAATTATATACGAGATGTTGCACTTTGGTACATAAGAGTTTGTGTTGCTTAGTTGGTTAAACCTTAATTGTTATATTTGAGGTCATAGGTTCAACTCTTGTTGTTGTTAACATCGTTATTTATATTTTATACAACTGTTGTCTTTTATAAAATAATGATGCGCAAAGACAACGATTTTTTTTATATTTTATAACCGTTGTCTTTGTAGTGTTGTGTATTCAAATACGCTTAAAGACAACATACCAAAGACAACGGTTAAATAAAATTGTTGTTTTAAACAAATAAAGAACGCGCAACAACAACGGTTATATAAAACCTAAAACCATTGTCGTTGTAGTGTTGTGTATTCAAGTGCTATTAAAGACAACACATAAATGACAACGGTTAAATAAAACTGTTGTCTTTTATAAAATAATAATGCGCAAAGACAACGGTTTTAAAAAACCGTTGTCTTTGTAGTGTTGTGTATTCTAGTGCGCTTAAAGACAACACACCAACGACAACGGTTAAATAAAACCGTTGTCTTTAAAAAAAAAAAAAAAGCACACAATGACAATGGTTTTAAACAACCGTTGTCTTTCTAGTGTTGTGTATTCTAGTGCGCTTAAAGACAATACACCAACGACAACGGTTAAATAAAACCGTTGTCTTTAAAAAAAAAAAAAGCACACAAAGACAACGGTTTTAAACAACCGTTGTCTTTCTAGTGTTGTGTATTCTAGTGCGCTTAAAGACAACACACCAACGACAACGGTTAAAAAAACTGTTGTTTTTTTAAAAAAAAAAAACGCACATAGACAACGGTTTTAAAAAACCGTTGTCGTTGTGGTGTTGTCTTTTCACAAAATGCACAAAGACAACACACTTATAACAACGGTTAAGTAAAAATCGTTGTCTTTGACAAAAGTGTTGCATCAAAGACCACGGTTTTGGACCAAACTGTTGTCTTTTATACAAAAGACAACAGTTTTTAGTGTTGTCTATGTGCATTTTTCTTGTAGTGGCGTTTTTTTAAAAAATCAGTGTTTCTCATCCATTAGATCTGGACAGGTGGACGAAAAGAATTCATTCCTATTTCGCGCCTGGACGAAGCATTCGCACCTGAGTGCGATTATATATATATATATATATATATATATATATATATATATATATATATATATATATATATATATATATATATATATATATATATATAAAGGGATGGGGGAGTGGGGGTAGCTGCCCCCATACTAGTTCCGTCCTTGCTCCCCGTATCTGCTCCGTCCCATTGCTATCCCTAGTAGTGATCGAAAGTGTGTTTTGCTATTTGTCTTTATTATTATATTTATTAGAATTTGAATTCCTAAAAATATGTAGATTTTAGTATTTGTATGTGTGCGTGTTTGATTTGTCAATAAATGAAAGACAATTTTCGTAAAGAGTAGAGAATTTTAAAAATTTTCATGTGTAATTTGATCTTTTAAAAATTAATTACAATCAGTCATTTTAAAACATTGCTTCAATCAATGTTTCAAAAATTAACTTATTGACTAAAATAAATTTTAGTCAAAAAGAAAAATCAATAACCAAATATTGACTAAGTCAAACAGTTAGTTGAAAATCATCAAATCAATCAATTTTTTGCTTTGGCACATTTAACATCACTTGAAATTTGGATTGGTTGGCTGAGTCATATGACACAAATACCGGCATGTGTATCATCAAAGTTCTCGGGCAGTGAGTCATATGAAAGATACAGGCGTG